AACAATTTGTTATTTTCTAAGTTTGCGAATAAAACTTCACACTTAAATTTAAGACATTCGTAACAAATATTTTATGAAGAAAATCACCGCTACGGCCTTCTTTAGAAAAAATATATTCGTTTAAAACAAAAATTAGCGAAATTGGCCCAATTTTATATAACCCTGCCTGACATGCAAGTTTTCTCCGCGATAAGGATAGTAGCCATATCTGACAGATTACTCACGAGTAGTTTAAGGAAAAAAAAAACAACTAATAAATTACTGTGAAACTGCGAAATTTCACAGTTCAAAATGTTGTTAAATGTGTACAACTAAAATGTACCACGGATGGAATTAGGAAATTTAAATTCGTCGCGCTTATAATTTAGGTGACCATATTTTGCAAAACGAAACCATATTTAGAAATGATGAAATGATAACACATATATAAATAAACGGCGAGAGGGAATTATTATAAATTATTTTATTTTAAGACAGATTTAACGAATCGATCACTGTATTTTGCAACCAAGAGAAATAATTCGTGTTATATGTTGTTTTCTTCTAAATCTTTGAAAGCAAAAAAAAAACGTACGGCCACCTTTGGCATGTACTGCCACCATAGCCCGGCAGATCGATAGAAATAAATCTATCGCCACGTAACGCCGCCGAGCAAACTTCGCATTTCGCTCAAAACTTCGCTATTTTTCGGTAAAATATAAAAGTTAAAATATGACTTTTTTTTCGGTCAAAAATAAAAGTTAAAATATGACTTTTATTTTTTCAGTGAAATGTAAAAGTTTAAACTTGACTTTAACTTTTTCCGAAGATTACGTTCGAAAAGCATTTATGGAAACAGGCACCTATAAGGAAAGCGCATTGATGTTGATACGGACCTTATGGATTACTGGGAGGGTAAAAAATGTATATATCCCCGACTAAGAGATCTGGCATGTATTATACATCCAGTGCCACCGACACAAGTCAGTTTAGAGCACGCGTACTCAGCACTAAGCTTATTCTTAGCGATTTGCGATACAATTTGTCGGAGCAGAATTTGGCACCGATATTAATTGTTAAATTGAATTCCGAATCATTCCTGTAAAGAGGTGAATAATTTAAAACTTAAATTAAATAAATTCAATACATTTACAGAAGATAGAAAACTGCAATTGAAAGGATATGCATTTTTTATTAAAACATATTAGTGGTTTTCACCAAAGTGAGCAAGTGGCCTGGCAGTCTGGCAAAAGAGCAGATTAGCTCAAGCTGTCAAGTTGTTGCTCTTTTGCTAGAGTGCCAGGCCACTTGCTCAAGTTGGTCTATACCACTATTGTATTGTGAATATGTAAACAGCTATGTTGACCGAAACAAGAAAAGTCAGATTTAACTTTTAAAATTGACCGAAAAAATAAAAGTCAAATTTCAACATTTTATATTTGACTGAAAAAATAAAAGTCAAGTTTTATCTTTTACTTTTGACTGAAAAACTATCAGTAAAAAAATAACGGTAATTGCTGACTTCTTTGAAAAAAGTAAAGAAAAAAATAAATCATATACGATTAACATTCCTTGGCTAACAAGCATCACATTGCTATATACAAATGTTAAAAACACCAATTCTTTCCGACTGACTTTTTGAATTAAAATTTTGAGAATAACTATTATTTTCGGTCCCTGACTATATATAGTTAAACTTTACTACAGAAAAATTACACAGAATTTTCTGTAGTTAAGTTTAACTAATGATTTAACTATACTTAAAAAAGATAGGTTAACGGCCCTTAATGATTTATTTTTGTTTTTTTATAACACGGTGTAACAAAACAAAAAAAAAAATTAATACATTTAGCATAAACGAATAAACCAGCATAAAAAATCTGCATACTCAAAATGTTCAATACGGCCTCATATTTATACATACATATGTATATAATTTAAGAAAAGATATTTTTTTGTAAAGCAACGATTATAAATTGTTAGTTTACCTTACAAAATTGCGGAGGAATATTACCGAGTGTACGGAAAAGTATATGTTTTACATTTTTTTTTGAATAACGTCTGGTCCGGCTATTTGGCTTATTATACAGGTATGGAGAGCTATGAATTTAAAAAATACATCAGGGTTTATTTAAGATATTCGCCTTTGACCACTACGTTTTGTATATTTCCCAGTACTGCAAAGCTTTTGACTGCCATTCACCTGGGAGTGGCCAGAAGTGATTTGTGTGTGCAGCTCACTACGTCCGAATATTTATATTCATGAATCCTCTGGGTAGTGACCGAACACTAGTATGGGAGCGAGCTAAAGTGGGGGGCGTAACACTCCGCGTGCGCTGGGTTTGGGTCCCGCCACGTTAAAACCCTGTCCAATGAAAAATATAACGCATGCCTCGGATGATACCCCCTATTTGTGACGATCACGGCAAACATAGGAAGGACTATGATTTGAGGGTATGCACCTGGAATATCCGAACGCTTAATCGGGAAGGTGTCTCTGCCCGGCTGGTTGATGTCCTAGGGAAATAAAGGCTGACGTCACCGCCATCCATGAAATGCGATGGACGGGGCGAAGAAGGTAAGTGTGGAGTCTGGCGACGTCTACTACAGTTGCCACGCAAAGGAGCGCAAGCCGGTGTTGGATTTGTGGTGGGAGAGCCCCGCGTTCACTGTAGTGGACGAACGTCTAGCCACAATCCGCATCAAAGCGAGATTCTTCAACATCTCGCTCATATGTGCCAATGCCCCGATGGAAGAGAAGGACGAGGCATCCAAGGATCTCTTAGCTTAGAGCGTACATTTTAGCGCTGCCGCCGATACCTATAAAAATCTTGCTTGGCGATTTAAATGCCAAGTTGGACAACAAAGGTATCTTTGGCAACAGTGTCGGAAAATTCAGCCTCCACATAGAAACGGCGGGCTGAGGCTGATCGACTTCGCCGGGGCCCGAAACATGGCAGTATGTAGTACTGGGTTCTAGCATAAAAAGATTTTTAACCGTGTGTGATTCAAAACGGATGCATAAACCAAATTTCAATATGAGACATTTCATGTTACCGCGGCCGCCTCTGTGCGCCGACCTCTAAGGATTTGGATGAATGTTGAAGAGATTGAAGGTCTAGGTGACATGAATATACATACGTGCTGCATATTTTGCCGATATATGATATATTTTAAGAAAACGTCGTACATACCTCTCTTTAAAGTGCTGTATTTTTGAAACCTTTTAACGAAACTTAATGAAAAAGCATTTATTTCTTGCGACTTATTATGGGATTTCATTATACATTTTTTACATTAATGTGCAACGTATAAAAAACAAAAAAAAAAATTAAGTAAACATTTTTCTTTTAGATTTTTTTTTTGATTATAGTATTTCTTTAATTCTTATTTTTACATAAAAACATTGTCTATAATGTCAACTTGAAGTACCCAAATGGGTGTAATGGGCTACTTAGGCCTGTGGACTCTAGATCGTCTAATGCTCGAGCACTATGGTAAAGAGACATTAAAATTTTATGAAATTTGCATGCCACCTTCAATCTCTTCAACATTCATCCAAATCCTTAGAGGTCGCGCACAGAGGTAGCCGCGGTGACATGAAATGCCTCATATGCTTTAAAATTCAAAAGAGTGCTGACTCGCTTTTGTTTTCAAATCTGGTTTTTATTTCTCACATCTGTTAAAAAAAAAGTAGGAATAAACGCATCGTTCATTTAACGTGAAGTGAAAATCAGCTAAGCTAGTTCTCTATATTCATCCCGTTTTAAGTTTGAATTATAATTGTAATGAAATTGAATAATTGTTCATTTCCATGTTGGTCCACCGTGCAAATTAATAACTAACCAAATGTCGAACGCCAGATTCTTGACGCTTGAAAGAAATGTGTGTTGAGTTTAACCGACTTCAAAAAAGGTGAAGGTTATCAATTCGGCGGAATACTTATTTCTTTTTATAGTATGTATGCTACCGCATAATTCTGGGTCACGTCAACCGATTCCCATAATTATTTTGTTAAAGGAAAGGTTCCATACTAATTTGGTTTAAATACGATCATTGGATCAGGAAGATATAACCGGCACTCTTAAATTTTTATAAATATGGGAATTGAAGTCAGCTTTGTTTTTTTGCTTGTTATAGTTTGCTCCAGTTCTCCACAGCTGAATTCCGTAGGTCTAGATCTGTCGTATAATAGTTTACTGTCAATAGTACAAAATAAAAAATTTAAAAGCTTATTTCTCTTCATCTTTATTAGTAGAGAATTGTACTCAAACTCTTCTAGAGTCCTCATATAGCTTATTAAATCTGATCACTTCAATTATCTTTGGTTTGTTTTTATATCTACAAATTCTGTGGTAGAGTTCGCAGGCCTCGGACTTTTCTCAAGGACATATTCACGATAGTAAGCGACTTTTAGCTGGAGGGCAATAAGAAACCATATAAGGCTAATTCATTGATGGCCTCATGCGCATTAAATAGTCGAAGGATCCAACCACCAATCCTCCGGAATGAAGAATAAGTAGCTAAGCTCCAAACTGCAAAAGGATCTTTTTATTCTCGGAGACTTAGAGCTAATCCTTGCGTTTCAAATTAAATATCTCTATAGGATTTAACCAGGGAAATGGTCCAGAAAAGTCTGAGAATTCCGTTGGTTGTAATTGTAATGGGAGAGATAACCTTTTTCGTGCCTTTTAATTCTTTCCCTGCTCAGGCCTAGCTTTCGGAGCCTTATAAAGTGTATAGCCAGTTTATTGACTTCAGATCGCTATCTAAAAGACTAGTGAATTAGACTCAGATTTGATGTACAGCAGGACTATTCTCAGGTGAATAGCCCACTCTCTTCACATTATGGCGAGTGCGACAATCCACTTTATGATCTCCTAGACGTATTTAAGTTTTTCGTACTTTCTGGCAAAGTAGAGCCGTAATGAATTGCTCAGTAGCCATCCAGTGAACAGTTGAATACCATACCATCCGATTGATGTTGAGATCCTTCTTAAATTATGTGTGTATTTACATACTGTTATATACTGTAGTTATTGTTTTGTTGCCATTTCCATACCTGTAAATAGAAAAGAAAAAATGTTTTAAATTTTTAGCTAATATAACGGTAATTTCCAGAAATACAAAAACTGCGATAAATTAGTATCTATTTAAGTTAATTTAGCAGAAATTGATTTTTAGGGAATTTTTTGGAAAATGAGCATGGCACCGCCCACTTACGCCTGCATATGTGCATCTCGGTACCCGGTTTATCAATTTCTACCAAACTCGGCACATTTAGCATCGTTGGCGCATGTCTTGAAAATTTTCGTAATCGGACTAAAATTACTGCCATTTACCATATAACAGTAAAATTCAGAGCTACGAAAACTCCGATCTTTCAATAACTAAAGATGCCAACTTGCAACAATCTTTTAACAAGACACAAGATTATTGATTTTTGTTAAATGGGCTTGGCACCACCCACTTATGACTACAGAAGTATCTATCAATAATCGCCTTACCGATTTCCACCAAATTTTGTCCAATTATTTCAATACATCATAGCATATTATTGAAATTGTTTGACACTGAGAAAAATACTCTTTTGAAAAAACGATATTTAATACGTGCGCCGGGTATATAAAGTTCGGTTTCGCCCGAACTTATACTTCCTTACTTGTTTATATTACATTGACATCGGGTTCTGAGCTAAGTTTGATATATCATGATTTGACCCAAACTCGTGAAAATAAAAAAAGATTTAAAATAAAAATGTTCAAGTAAAATAAAGTAAAACAAAAGTAAAATAAAACAAGTTAAGCAAAAAACGCAACCGACTTCAATTCTCATATACAAATTTAGGAGTGCTGTTCATTATTTAATCATCGGATCTAAACCAAATAAGTATGGGGCTACCCTTTCCGATAAGAAAAAAAAAGATTTATCGAATTCGGTTTACCTGGTCCAAAGTTATGCGGTAATATACACAAAAAAAATATTCCGACGAATTGATAACCTGAGTACGAAAATGCTTTTGTAACAAAATATTTGTTGATACTGGAGTGAAAGGATTCTACATATCTCTAGTTTAGATTTAAAATTAAAGCAAATTTGCTAAGTCCAAAAGAGGCAAAGGAAATTCGGAAGTCAAAATAATACGAAATCTTTTAACATCTAATTGTTTCTAAATATTGCATTCAAAGTTTTGCAAAATTCTCAGTTGGGTAGTTGGTGTTACCGACAGGGTAGGAGTATAAGGTATTGTGGAACGATTTTCTGTCATCCCTTGTCACTTCTGGTTTGGAGACAAACCGGTTTTGGCATTGTGCTATCTTCTTCTACCTACCTGATGATGCCCACTACAGAACAACAACTACTAGTTAGACTAAAAAATATAATCCGCTAAGCCGTAACTAAGTAAGGGTCGTTTTCTCAAGTAACCTGTAACTTTAAAGCTCACTTTATATTTAAAGGTTGCATTAAAATGTATGATTGTGTCTAAAGAAAAGCATTCTATTATCGGTTTTAAATTGGATTACAACCAAGAAACATACATACGTTAAAAACCGATAACAGAAATGCTTAACTTTAGACATAGCTCTTTTTTTAATTCAACCTTTAAATACAAAGTTAGCTTTAAAGTTAAAGGTTACTTCTGAAAATGGTCCTAAGAAGCAACGAGCAATAACACGACTATAAACATTGACGAACAAACAGAAACTATATAGAAACGAAAAATTACACTGAAGATGGTTCAAGGCCGAAACCGTTGTGTCTCAAAACCAAAATGGACATGGGATGACGGAAAATCGTTCTATAATAAATTTTTCAAAATACTTGAATAAAATGGCCATGATAAGTTTTTTCCTTTCCTTTAAAATACAAAAAAAATAACGTAGTAACTTTTCACTCTATACCAGCAGTATTTGAATTTTCTTTGATGTACATATATGTATGAACAAACTTTTGATTCTTCACTGCTATGCGGTTAAAACTTGTTGCTTGTCTAGCATTTAACCTAAATAGCTTCATTTGAATGCGATTGCCATTTGGTGTGAAACAAAAAATCTATTTTCCTCTGCCACCCACACAATACAATGAAATTATGCACATCCCATTTTTCCTCTTTATGGCTATGGGTTAAAAGCAAAGCTTGACTTATGCGACTAATGTATTCTCTTTTTTATGTAAACGTTGAAATTTCAAATATTTGTACAAAATATTACTTGGCAAAGGGCAAGAGTTCATGGAAAGGAATATTGTTTTTTGCTCTGCGAGTAGAATATGTACTACGTAAAATGAACAAAAAAATTTTGATAGATAGAAACAAACATATGCATTGCTAAAGCATGGTAGGAGTGCATCACGGGTCTAGATAATTTGTTAAAGAAATATTTTCAGTAGGGTTGCCAACAAACTATATTAAAAATTGTACGGGACACAAATATATGCATATGTACATACAGACAAGGGTGCTTTTTTGGCGACTATTTTTTTTTCATTCCCACCATGAAATTTTTTGGGAAATACCTAAAAAGAAATTCCCTGAAAATTTGAGCCCTTAATATTAATATTAAGTGCAATCCTCTGGAGGTGTTTATTGCAGAGGACTGGAACTTGGCACCGAGATGTGTATACAAAATTAATTCCATACTCAAAGAGAAGAATTTGCGTTATTCGAAAAGGGGACATTGTTCCTGCCGTACAAATTTACTGTTTTATACTGCTTATCTCTAGAGGTGTTCATGGTAGAGTACTGGGACTTGGTACTGAGGTATGTAAAATCAATTCTAAATTCATGGAAGAAGATTAGTTTTATAAGAAAAAGGGGCGTGGCACTTCCAGTACAAATTTACTTTTTCTTGCCACATATCCCTGGAAGTGTTTGTGGAAGACAGAATAAATTTCATTAAATGGAAAAGGGAGAGCCGTGTTCGGCCTTATAATCTAAAGCTCTCTTGAGGCATTTGCTACAGTAATGAGAAGTGGTATTTTATGAAGGCCAGGTTATTAAATTTGAGTTGGAAATATTAGAACTCGCCGTGGCACCTCCAAGAAGGTTACACGTTCACGCGTCGTATACCTGGAAACAATGTAAGGTAAACTTAGAGGGATTGATATATTTCGTATGCATATATATAAATATATATATATATATATATATATATATATATATATATATAAATATATATATTTTTTATCTTTTGAGAAAAAAATTCTTTTAAAATAATTCTTTTTCACCAAACTATAAAAAATCTTACCATATATTGCCAAAATTATTTTGGGAAAGATTTTTATTTTTGCGGATAAAACCATAAAGCTATCCCATTTTCGCCTAAATATTTTTATAAAATTTAAACAAAAATGTATATATTTGACAAAAATATTTTTTTAAAGAAAAAATATGAAAAACTTAAATTTGCGTTAATTTTTCTTGGACATCGCAATTGGCAATTCAAATCATATCTTATTTTTAAATGGGTTTATGGTCCTAAAAGGGTTAAAAAACCTACAGGTGGCTCTTACTAAGCTCAAGTTTGGATACCCCTGGCATAATTATTTTTATTTTGTAGGCCAAAAGCCTAACTGCGCCACTGCTCTAACAATCAACCGAATATCACTTGACAACTATTTCTTGATTAGGTTATCGATTTCTGATAAATCTTTTCACAATTTATTGGCAGATTTTTTTACATGAAAATTTAGTTAATTTGAGCATAATATGCTCAAAAATGAATAATGACACCTAAGTTATTAGTTAGGTGATATACAAATATTTCCCCTTTAACATTTGATAAATGTAATATGCGAGCAAGAATCATCGACTTTGCATTCTATTTTGTCTAACACAAAATTTTCTTCTAAATCCATAATTGCATGAGAACGGATATGTATTTATGATATTAATACATTTTAAGTGAGTCGTTTTCAAAGAGCAAGTATGCTATTGAATAATAAAAACGAAGTTTTGTAAAGTTAGCAGAATAAGAACTTTTCATGTTCGATATTGCAATTGAGAATTTCATTAAAAGTTTTGGAGCAAAATAAAATGAGGTAAAATAAAACTAGACGGCTATGAAATTGCAATAACCACAGCAGTTAAGGTGATAGGTAAAATATGACTAAAATGAATTCCATGAAAATGAAATAATAAGAAATAGGCTAAGAAGTAGCAAGGAAAAGCTATCTTGAAAACAACTTTCCCGTTGCACAGGCTTTATGCCAAAGAGTGTTGGAAGAATAATGAATGTTTCACCTCCACATAGCTGCTCTAACACTGTGTAGCACAAGCGCACTAGGGAACAATGAGAAAACTATAACAACAAAAAATAGGTATTACCGCATTGAAAAAGCTCTTAAATACAATTGACTCTGAAACTTAGCAAATAATTTTCTGCTCATTTTTTACAGTTGCGTTTGTCGATGCCTGCGATAATAAAAATATCCTAACTAACAAGCCAGGGTAAAAATTTTGTTAAGCAGCACGCACACTTATCGTTGTGAGAAACAAAAAAAAAACAGCATGCAAGCTTTAGCTTTAATTTTACTTTAGCTAAATGAGAAAGTTATGTGCTAAATATTTCAGAACATGGTAGGGAAAAATGCACACAAAAATCTAACAATGAAGTTTATAAAAAACAGTATTATTTTTGAGCATATACTCTGAATGATTATTTGGCCAACTCTATTGTGATTTGTAGAAAAGCCTAAAGACGTGTTTTTGGAAAAAAATAAAATAAAATTGGAGTCGATTACACTGGTCTACAAATTTCAACTTTTTTTCTGCGAATAAGACGGGACCTGGTGTTTCTGAACGGATTTTTCGTGCTGAACACGAATCCGGGGTCAAAAATGTCCCATCACGTCACGTTTTCGAGAAAAAAGGGGTTGAAACCCCTAAAAACAGCGTTTTTGGCCATTTTCGAAAAATTATAGAGCTGAACCCTGACGTGGTACAAATTTTGCATATATCAGAAATTAAAGGCTAAACCGTGCCCTTTCGAATGAGCCCTATGCCGAATTGATCGCGTGCACCCTTAAAGCAGGGGGTGTATTTGTGTTTAGGGGTGCAGGAAA